TCGTTTGGACAGCGACCTTTTTGCGACCAACAGCAGAGTGCTCGGTATTTGAATAAAATGATCCCAGGACAACTGAAGTGGTCAAAAATAACGTGAGCAAGAAAACCTAAACATGTTTCTATGCATGGTGCTCATATTCCCTGGGAGACCATCAATTTTGTTTATCAAAACTAGGTCGATGTACGCCAGACCACGTCTCGCGTAACAGGCTTCGCGATGTCTCACTAAACACTGTTACGCTGCGACGCGCCTGGCATACATCTACCTAGGCCTGCGGCGCTGACACCCGAGTCGAGCAAAAAGCAGAGTCGTAGGCCTTGTATCGTCAGAAATGGCGATATCGTTTCGACATCGCATATCGATTTGTGACGCTTTTTGTGTCGCTAGTGACACGAAAGTGGGCACAACAACGACATGCGACATCTAAACTATATCGTTGTGATATCGCCTAAATTATGGTGTCGCTCCATTTCTGGTGGTGTTGGCCCCAAAGGACACAAATTTCACCCCCACGATTTTATTTAGACGAGTTGCCCCACCAGAGACTATAAAGCATCTGAGGAACAACATTAAAATGATTTGAGGTCACTTTCATGTGGAAATCGCCTCTTGGCGGTTAGAGATAGAGCCAAACGGACAAACTTTTGGCCCTCTGTGTTCTACTTTAACGAATTTCGTCTTAGATGTTAAAAAAAAATGCTTTTAAGTAATATTTTGGGTTTTTCGTTTTCGATTCTTTTGACAGGTTAATTTTTAAGCTAGAGGGCTCAAGATCAATACAGTTCTTGCTTTTTATGCTACAAAGCTACACTAAAAAAGCTACACTTCAGGTACCTAGCTCAGACCGTTCTCGAGTTATTGCGATTACAGACAAACAGACACGAAACTTTTTGATCATCACTGGAGTAATAGACTTCGCTATTGCTCAGCCAAAAAAAAACTTTCGCTCTAATGATTTTACTTTGAACAATTCCTCCTTTATTGAAACATAATCATTATCTGAACAAAATACATCTGGTTTTGGTAATTTTTGTAAGACCCGTTAGCCCGCCTCCTTTAGGTCATATATTTACATTTATTTGTACACATACAAGCGTTGACATTTTTATAAACATTGTGCCGAAGCAACGAAAACCTACACTACAGCTTGTATCCCACTTTGCGGAGATGCCGTATTCTGCCTTTTGAGGGATGGTGCTGCGTTCTCGAGAGTACTCCATGACCGCAACAAAGCCGTAAACAGCAGTCACAGCTGGTTTGGTTAATCTATCTCTGCTTTCCTGGAGATTTCTCATTTACTTAATAGCAGTGCTGATGTAACTTGCAGACTGCAAACAGTTAAAGAGTTCTTAGAAGACGCAAGTGTGTTACGTAATTAAAATGATCGAAGCTGCGTCGAATACGTCCCATTATAGTCTTTTCAAACTTTCTGGTCCTCGTTCGTACGAATATGCCTGAAATTGCGAACAATACTAGACAAGAATGGACAGCTGGAATGAAAAATTGAGTTGAGTGCCGTATCATAAAAAATCACTATGAGGAAATATGTAATTA